TGGAAATATCACTGTGCAAATTCCTACCCCTATGACAAAAGGCTGAAGAAACTACAGTAATAGAAGCATGTTAGAATAGAATGTATGTAGGATCAATGCTAATTGAGGAAAAGAAGAAAAAAGAATGAATTTTAGGGTCTACAGCAATCCCACAACGTGAGGGGAGACCTATCATTTGACAAGTCAGTCCATTTCTTATTTACTCTTACAAGAGAAAGATATTCTCATTATAGAATTTCTCGCTCCACACACACAGTGCACACATTAATAAATGGGACTCCCCCAATGCAGGCAAGTATAACATCAAAGTAATAATGAGATCAAATTATGATATGATGCAGTATTTTGCACTAGGTACCAGGCTGCCTCTGTTCATCAGATTTGGTGCTTCATTGCCAAAGATGGGGAACATAAATACCAAAATTTGAGACACAGACAAGATAAATATGTTCATTCCCTATCTCAGGATCACAAAAGATGCCATTATGTAAGTCATCACAGAAAGCTCATGTATCACGCATAACACAAGTCTCAACATTTAAACATATTGGCTATATCCATATTCTTCTGTCTTCTTAGGAATCAAGATGACAACTGGCACCTTACCCACACATGAGGCTGGGACACAGAACCTAGCCTAGTCAGATGTCACGGTGAGTCCAAGATCTGTTATAAGGACATCTGAAACTGATCTGCTAGAAGCAGTATCTATCTAGCTGTTGTGGAAGCCCACCTGATGGAAACGTTTCTATTGCTCTGAGGCTGTTGACACTATCGCTGAGACAAGAGTAAGATAAAAAGGTAAACGCAGTGAGTGACAACAATGACAAACCATCTTGGATGTGACTGATACCAGAGCGCAGACCCTAAACTAGATTTGATGCGCTCGGCCTTTGGAAACCTTTCCTTACCCCCTTACCACTGCATAAATACTATGCTCTGCTACATAAACTGAATGCATGAATAGCATGTCTGAAATAGCATGTCTGAAATTGAAAGCTCTAAAACTGCAGAAGGGCTAAAGCAAGGGAGCAGAGATTCAAGAAAGTAAGGATTCACTGTTGTCAAGCCTTACTGTGTTCAACAGCTGACTGACTCAATCCTTCAGCTATTTATGTGATGCAGGCATCCCAAAGATGTGACAGACTGAATACCTCAAAATGCTCTCCAAAGATAAGCAGTCTCTATGTCAGGATTATTACCACTCATTGCCCACCTAACAGAAAAGAACATGTAAAGACCACAGGAAAGAAAGGACAAAGACGACTACTAATGATGGAGAAAGCCTAAGTCTAACTGTTGTCATTTTAGCTGCACAGTCTGAATTAACAGCTCAATGGTTTAATAATATCCAAATTAAAGCTTCACCAACAAGTCATACCTAGCACGTCCAAAGGAAACCAATTCTTGCTCCTCTACGTACACTTGTTAGAAAGAGTTTGGGAATCACAGAATGGCCAGGGTTGGAAGGGACCTCAAGGATCATGAATCTCCAACCCCCCTGCCACATGCAGGGCCACCAACCTCCCCATTTAATGCTAGACCAGGCTGCCCAGGGCCCCATTCAACCTGGCCTTGAACACTTCCAGGGACAGGGCATCCACAACCTCTCTGGGCAGCCTGTTCCAGCACCTCACCACTCTCATAGTAAAGAACTTCCCCCTGACATCCAACCAAAAAAAAAAAACTGCTCAGCAGCCACTAGCAGTTCACTAGAAGCTGCTACACATGACTTCCCAGTACCAACAGTCCCACTGTTCATAAGAGCTGACTTCTCTAGAAAAACTCCAGCCATGTGCTGCATAGCCTTGACGCAGCTTTTGACCTCCAGAGCCAGGAGATGCCAGCGCTGTTTCTGCAAAATGAAAACTCTTCTGTCCTTGTGCTGAAGGACAAGGATTGTAACGTGCCATAGATTAGCAGCATCTGCCCCTGGATATTTTAAAACAGGCAAACCACCTTCATAATGGCCCAAGGATCATTCAAATAATTGCTATAGATTATTGCAGAGTATTTATCAAGCTATAACTTCAAAAAATTAAAATCTGGGAAAAATAATCTCCTATATACAAGCTGCAGTTGCAAAGCAGCAGAGGCTACACAGCCTTTCAGTGCCTGCAATAACCACTTGAACTGGCACTATACTGCTAAACACCACTAGCTGCCAGAAAGGCAGCTCCTATGGACTCTCCTCACTTCTCCAGGGTCTGTGGTTGATGGAGCCATTTGTCTTTCCTCAGAAGGAGTTCTTGAAAGCATCCTTGTTGTTAATAACATAAGGTTCAACTCAAAAGGAATTTCACACAGTCAGCATTATGCAAAAAGTTGGGATAAAAAAGCCCAACTGCTTTTCTGGTTCTCAAACTTCATAAACAATGAAAAATGCATACAGATCACTTACGGCTTAAACCTTTTTAAGTGGAGAAAGAAAGTAAGTCTTTTAATCCCTATTAATTTCAGCATTTTATTGCTAAAGATTACATTAAAACTGCTTGCTGCCAGATATCCGACAGCCTGATGTACTGCAGTCCTGTGTTCTGCGGCTTCATCCTTTAAGCTTTAATTTTCAAGTCTACATTTTCTGAGCTTTTTGGTTCAAGACATTCCTAAGAAACTTCAAAACACATTACAGTTCACCAAGCACACGTATCATTAATTTACAAAGAGAGTATTTTATTATTTGAAATGGTTCCATAAAGAAACTACAGAAGCTTATACCAAAGCCTTGACTGCAGGCTGGGCTGAAAGTCACTTTTACAGGTCACGCACACCTTTCTGAGCCAGCCTTGCAAAAATATCACACATCACAGACAAGCAAGCATTTTTTCCTATGTCAGCTGTCCAAAGCACAAAGAATGAAGACAACTTACTGTCGGGTTAGTAGTGATGCCCCTTCACACCACACATCCAACTCCTATTCACACAGAGCACTAAAACTAAGGACAGCATAAACACTGAGCACCAACCTATTTGCACACACAGAAATTTAGGTCAAAACTCAGCTCTGTTTTCATTGGGGCTGGAACATGCCCGCTTCCCAGCAGACAGTGAATCTCAGGTTTTGTCAGCCTTCCAGCACCATCCTACATTTCCTCCACAGTTTCTCATTCCTTTGGCTTGCTCTACCCACTCACTTTTTATGCATCACTCTTCAACCATCAATCAGATATGTTGTTCAAAGAGAAACACATTAATCCCTCGTTCCTCTCACTGTTTACACACCACTCTGCTCACACCAAACACCACAATAAAGCACTGTTCCCGCATGTGACTTCTGGGGGTCAAGAAGTTGCTTTTGTTCACACTAGGATACAGATCTAAGCGCAGCAAAAGATGTAATGGAGAGCTGCATAACATTCTCTTTGACATTGCTTACAACATTTGTTACAGAAGCTGTAGGTGGGCAGAAAGGATCACACTACAGAAAAAGAAAACAGTCCCATGATTTCGACGATTTAATCATACTGCAGAGAACTGAGCTCTATTTCTCTCCTTTACATAAGTCACAAACCTTTGTCTTCTTTAAGCAGGGATGTACCTCACTGCCTGAGCATTATCTGCAAATAAAGTCAAAGAGAACTGTGTGCTGAGAACAGACCACTAAGACTGCAGCAAGTTCAGACAGAATGGAAACAGATCCAGGCACCTTGAAGTGGGTGCAGAAAATGAGCTTTCACCTTGCTCACAGATTTGATGCCTCTACCTACCAGCTTTACTTTGTTATTTTACACTTTTGTTAAAGTTCCCAAACATTCTGGAAACTCTCAGAGTAAAGAAACATGAGAAAAATAACAATCCTGAACAAAAAGATTTGGAATAAAACCTCAAATTACAGGGGCTAACAAAATCCTGGAAGCTTACTTATTAAATACGGCTAACAGTATCACAAGCTAAACAACAAACCAAGCAAGCTAGTAAAAAAAACAGGTCATCAGAGATGCTAAAAATGACACGCATCAGCAGGTCATGCATATTGCTGGAGCAACCTTCATTCCCTTACTTCCCAGCAGCTCCAGCTCAGACTTTCTCCATTCTCAAATACCACAGATTCTCTTTAAGTAGGTTCAGAGAGTGGTTCTGTTTCTCAAACATTTCAGAAAGTCTCCAAGGTGTAGCACTAACCCAGTCCCATCCAAAGGGTGGGAGAAAGGAGTACTTTTATGCCTTTTGCAATCAGCAAAGTGCTGTGCGTGGAAGGTGAACTTGGATGCCCAACCGCAGCCCCTACAGAGTGGTGAAGTAATGGAGAGAGAGGGCCTGATACCCTGCTTGGCATCCAGCAGTGCCATTCACACTGTGCCTAAGCATCTATCCTGCTAATTCTGGTCATGCACCGACTTTGGATTCAGGAGTTAGAACCTGGTTAGGAAAATAGAACCCACAGCTAATCAGCCAAACGAAGCTCAAAAACTTTCAATCCAGGAGATAAATTGAAACAAACTTTACCTCCCACCCAGAAGTTATTCTTTGGGAGGATGGGGCAGGCCAGCGTCTAATAAGCAGCAGGAAACCTTTAGTCACCCACGGCTACCAATGACCTTAAGGTTTTTCTGCCTCCAGCAGAAGGAGTTCAGCCGGCAGAAAGCCACCCCGGCTGTTTAAAAACCACAGCTTTATCACACGGCCGGCAGATCGCATCCGCGAGGCCGGCAGCCCCCGGAGCCAGCCGCAAGCTCCAGCTGCGGGCTCCAGCCGCGGCCCCGCCGCACCAGCCCTATGGGCACCGCGGCGCGCTGAAGGTCAGCAGCCGGGCCCCGTCCCTCCGGAACGCAGGTTTTCACTCGTCGCGTTCAAACGACAACACCGAGAGGGGGGGAAAAACACCACGTCCTCCCCCGCCCCGCGCCGAGGCTCGAAAATGGAGGGAGCCCCGCGCAGCCCTCGCTCGGCCAGCGCGCCCCGCTCCCGGCGGCTACGCCGCGCCACGGCTCCCAGCGCCCGGGGCAGCCCGCCCTTCCCGCGGCCCCGCGACGCCGACCGCGGGGGCGGCCGCTCCTCACCTGCATCCCCGGCAGGCCCGGCTGCACGGGGGAGTGAGCCATGGCGGCGGCGGCGGCGGCCTGCGGGAGGGGCCGGCTCTCCTCAGGCGGCGCCGGGGGACGGAGCTGAGCTCATCGCCGCGCTCCCACACTCCTCCTCCCGTCCCTTCCCCCGAGCCGGCAGTGCCCGTGCGCGGGCGGCGGCGGAGGGGCCGGTCCAAGCGCGGGCTGCTCGGGCCCCGTCACGGACGCGGCCTCGTCGCTCCTCGGCCCTCCTCTCGTCTCACCCCCTCCGGGGCTCTCCCCGCCCGGTGAGGCGGTACGGCGAGATGGCAGAAACCCTAGACGTTTCGCGTTATGTCCCTTTCCTGCCTCTCCCCTCCTCCCGGAGGCTTTAAGAAAGGTCAGGGTAACGCTATAGCTCCGGCGAGGCGTATGGTTTCAGGAAGTGCCTGACTTCCTGTCAGAAGGGGCAAAAGCAGCACACCCAAATGGCAGGCTTGGTGTTTTCACGGCAGTTCCAAGACAGGAGAAATCCTGGGTCTGAGTAAAGGTCGTAAGAGTTTCGTAGAATCATGAGATCCTTGGCGTTGGAAGGAAGCTTCAAAGGCCATCAAGTCCAAATCCCCTGCAGTGAGCAGGGACATCCATGGACAGATCAGGTTGCCCAGTGCCTGATCCAGCCTCGCTTGAACGTCTGCAGGGGCATCAACCACATCACTGGGCAACCTGTTCCAGCACCTCACCACCCTCACTGTAAAAGACTGTTTCCTTATATCCAACCTAAATCTACCCACTTTGAGCTTGAAGCCATTTTCCCTTGTTCTGTCGCCACAGACCCTGACAAAGAGTTGTCCCCTTCTTTCCCATGGCTCCCTTCTAGATACTGAAAGGCCGCTATCAGTTTGATGATATTGTGTTGCCTTTACTCGGACTGTTGAAGCTAGGATTCAAGAGTTCTATCATACATTCCTCAGTACACTTGTTATGCTGAAAGGTGCTCTCCTTTTGTCCTCACAAATTAGTAGGTACTGAAATCACTGATGCCTGGTGGCTGATGGGTCTGTGATTCACAGGACAGAGGTTCACTATCTTTTCAGCTGAATCAAAGGAAGGTGTGAGTATCCATCATAGCATGATCATAGAGTCATAGAATGACTTAGGCTGGAAGGGACCTCAAAGCCCACCCAGCCCAACCCATGCCATGGGCAGGGCTGCCCCCCACCAGCTCAGCTGCCCAGGGCCCATCCAACCTGGCCTTGAGTGCCTCCAGGGATGGGGCACCACAGATTCTCTGGGCAGCTGTGCCAGCACCTCACCAGACATTGCCTTTCAGTAGGAAATGCACTAGAGAGCATTCATACAAAAATCTGAACTGCAAGAAAACCTTTAAAATATAAAAAGGTTTCTTTGACACTTGGTTAGACAAACTCCCACTGAAGGCTTTTCCTGTAGCTAAGACATTCTTTGTTGGGCTGAGCTAATGCTACACAATCTTGTTTTCCTGAAATGTTAGAAATATTACCCCTCATCTGAGCTTAAATGAAATTTGCTAGCTGCTCCCTGTGGACATATGTGTGCATACTCACCTCAGAAATGCAACTGCATACACTCACTCTTGAGGACAGAGAACCATGGAAAGGGTGATGGTTAGAAGTTGTGTAGCACTGTGAGCTGCTGGAGTTATTTTATCAGTTGTTCATGAAGGACTTGCTAGGTTCCTTAATGCTAAAATGGATTTTGAATTTTGCTTCTTTTAGCTCCAAAAAATAAAATTTACTAGTACGTAATTTCCTAAGGAAAGTAAAAGCTTTCATTTCAGTTTTGCCTCAAGATCAAATGCACTATAAGATTTTGTTTGAAAACTTTCTACTACATTGATTTCTACCTCGAAGCCTTTGTGTGATCTATATTTTTTTTGCTAAAGTGGAGCTTTAGTATTGTAAAGGACCACGATTCATGATTGTTGGTTGTAGTACATTTAATTCACAGTCCTGCTCTACGTGCTGAGCAAGAGGCTGTGCCTGAAGAAAGGTACTTTGAGGGAGCAGTCAGTTTTACTCATTAAGCACTCGAAAACAATTGAGCAGATTCAAAATACAGATTCTACATTCCAAGCCATATAGTGGTCTAAGTTAAGTTCTTGTGGAGTAGGAGATATTAGAGATATTAAATGTCAAATTTACACCAGTTTCCATACTACAAATACTGTATCTTATGTTCTGACACAATTCCAAGTACTTCCCTAGGCTTGGAGAATTTTAACCAAAATACTTTTGAATATAATCTTAAAACAATGACCATGTTTCTGTTTGCTGTTACTTTGTAAATGCTGGTCTTCAAGTTAAAACATAAGCTCTTTCTTCTGAAGACTGAACATTTAGAATTTTCTCTCATTTTCTCAACCTTACATGACCAAAAAATAATAAGTTTGCTATGTTCTACTCCAAAGAAAGGTTGCTGTGCCAGGAATTTTTATTAAAAATAGAATGATACCATGTTACAACAACTTATCATTCCAATACAGTAACAGAGACTTTAAAAATAAACAACACTTATTAGTAAAATGGTTCCTTGTATGTTTCTGAAGTCAAGTGTTTCCAACATGCAAAGATTCTATCAATTTATGTGTTTGTGTCTGAATACCTGCTTTGATTTCATAATAGACATAAGAAGAACGTTACAAAAGAGGAATATAATTACATCTGGCAGTGGCTGAACTTCCTTTTATAAGCTACATATGTAGAAAAAGCTTTTTTATTATTATTATTATTTTTTTTTTTTTTTAACATTTCTGACCCCAGTGACCAAAACTTCTCAAATGAGCAATAGATGTTTTCCAAGAGGTAAGATGTACCAGAAACTTAGCTCTTTTAACATTTGTAATATACCATAAATAAATAACTATTCCTATTTTGAAATAAACACACCGCAGAAAAAAAAGCACTGTGGATTATAACAGATGGAACATTTGTCTACATAAATTGCACATGGGAAATATAGCAGTGAATAAGAAGCAGGCAGAAGCTTGCCTGGGAGGAGAACAAGGGAGCTGAACAGGTGGTAACATTGTTTACAGTAAGGTATAACTATGACTCCCAAACAGATAGGATAGAGTTGTCTATTTTATGGAGCAGCAGCAGTATCCTGCCATCCTTGACTTGTCTGCAGATCTGTTATCAGGACCACAGCATCATTCTGGTTACTGCTAAGCTTGCTGCTGTTTTCTTGGGTTATTTTTCTCTCTTCATTATCACTTTTTTTATCACTATCTTTTGAGTTTCCTGTTCTCTTTTTCTCCACTTCCTTTACTGATCAGTTTGTTAGCAAACTCTGATTAGAACCTGTATAAAAATGTTATTTCTTCTCTTAACCATATAGGCTAGGTTCCCAACTTTGCTCTTTTTGGTTTTCAATTGCTCTGCTAATATCCTGATGGACCTGTGTTCTCAGAATAAGATTCCCAATAGCTTTTTGGTTAGGCTCCCTCTTGAATTCTTACATTTTAATTTGTCTGTAATAATGCAAAGCAGTTTTTCCAAGGTTCTTCATAAACGGATCTGAAAGAACCCTAGTTGTCCCAGGATTATAGGAGAAATCCTCACATATATGTGTAACTGATGGTAGATAGGAAAGAAGAAATAAAAGCATCTCATGATGGAGGGTGCTACCAATACACTGTCCCAAGAATCTATCTAGGACCAGTCTTGTTCAGTATTTCCATGGATGGACTAGAAGAGGAACCAGAGAGGAATGGCAAAATGGTCTCTCATTTTCAAGTATCATGAAGTAAAACCAAAACGAAATGCAAGGAGTTGCAAAAGAATCTCAGAGTGAGTGACTGCTGAGTGACGTTACCAGCAGATGGGAGTTCAGTGTTGAAAACTGTAGGGGAAAAAGTATGCAGGAAAACAATTTGCATTTACATACTGTAGTTCCTATCAGTCAAGAAAGAAATCTTCGTTGTCACTGATTTCAAAACAGTCAAAAGATAAAAATACATTAGGAAAGGAATGAAGGATAACGGAAACAACACGGTTATATCTCCAATATAAATCCATACTTTTCCTATAGACTGCTCTGTATCTTCTGTTTTCAAAATGATACTGTAGCATAGAAACCAGAAATTGAACAAAAACCTCCATATGGAGAAATTAAATATGTTACATCTCCTAGGTGCAGGAAGGAGACTTCATGGAAGTGGTAGCACTCTGTGACCTCATGAATGACGTGGAGAAGATAACTAGGGAGTGACCGTACACTTTTTCTCATAACAAGAGCTATCCACAGAAAACTTGAAAATAGAGAAAAGCAGGTAACAAGAGGAATGAACAATGGAACTCACTGCCACAGAATGTAACATTTGCATGTTAGAGGTTTATTTACCTACAAATCACAAACAAAACCAGTTAGGCATTTCTGAACTGGAGGCTGGGTAGAAATGTCACGTCTGACATCAAAGATTTGTGTTCAGGTCCTGATTTGCCCTTGGATAAACAAGGGATTTTGCTCAGCGAAGGGACTTCATTTGAACTTTTTAGCTCTGAGGTGGGCTGGACGGTCTGCTGGTGAGCTGTGCCTGCATGTCACTTTTCAAGTTTTGGTGGAAAGAGGATCCTTTCTACAAAGCTTATACTAGAGTCTTTCATCCTCTCTGACAACACGCCAGCAGTAACCCTGTAGCCGTGTATTTATGGCAGCAGAGGAAGCTTGTGTAGCTTTAGAAGCACACAGATAACCGCCTTCTGTGGCTATATAGGTACGTGCATTTAGGTTATGGCACAACAATCCATCTTGTCAGAAAATGATTTTATTGCAGAAGCACAGCTCGACATTAAAAAAAAAGGCTGTCTTCTTTAAGCCTCATAAATGCTGATTGGGGGGGGAAAGGTTATTAAGTTATTAAGTTTCCATGTTCCCCAAAGAAAAATTCCAATATTTTGCTAAAACTGTGTAAAACATGCTGTTATACATATATTTGGCTTCCTGCTGTGGTATACTTCATTTCTTTCATATCAAATTGCATTTTTTAAGATTCTTATGAGTAGGAGAAAATCCACTTTCTCACAGTCCTGAGAATCATAATGGATAAGTGGGCATGAAACAGGAAAGGGAAGAAACATCCTGAGTGTTGCATGGCCTTTATTAATATTGAGCAGAATATAAGTGCCGGAAAGTATCTTAGTATTCCAGACAGGCAATTAAAATTACATGGGGACCGAGAGCTCATTAAGAAACATGAGACTGATTGTACCGTGCTGTGCCACTGCCCCCAAAGAGCATCATTTCATTAAATCTTGCTTTTTATAGACCTTTCTCTTGCCCCCTTGTTACAGAAACCACACGTACACAAACAGAAGATGTACCTTCTGTATCCTCTTCTCTTATTTCACATTTTGTAATGGAGACATCAGTTCTTATCTCAGGTTAATGTCTGTGTACACAACAGAGTAGCACAATCTCCAAGCTAAATGGATGCATTAAGGATGACCCCATGGTCAAGATGAGATGATCTAAACCATGACTATGTCCCTGTACACTACATTTCATCCCAGATTTCAAATGTTTGCTTACAGACTACTGCATTCCCTGGAGGACAAGTTGCTCTGTATCTTGCTACCTTATAATTGACGGTCTTACAATCAACTGCAGTATTTTTGTTCAGGGTTTGTCACATTTTAGCTTTTTATTAATCTCATGTTATACCAGAAGCTACCTGTAAAATATTGTGTTGGCAGAAATGTATTCTTTTTATCT